TGACGTGAATACAATACTTTTTTTTTTGTTTTTACATAAATATTGTTCAAAAAAGGTGAAAGTTTTTGCATGGGTGTCAGATCTTACTCTGGTCTGCATAGTTCTTGATTTTTAGCTCCAGTTGTCGAGAGTGGGACTCCATTCTGTCCATGTGGTTCTGCAGGTCCTTTTTCTCTTGTTCGTGCGTGTCCTCAAACTCTATGAACTTCTACTCATAGATGCAGACACACACACAAACACACACACACACATACAAATACATGTCAGAAATGGAACGTTGATCTTTCTATCATTTTTAAGTAAGAGTTTATTAAATTGTTTCATTTCCCAAGCCTTATTAAAGAGTTTAATAAAAAAATAGAAAACATTCAAGCTGGAGCTCCTCGAAATAAGAGAAATGATGGACTTTTCAACATGTAAAAACAAACAGTGGATGTACAACGTACATCAGGACAGAGGCAGCAGGATAAATGTATTGGTTTAGCAGGAAATCCCAGTTCCTCAGTTTCCTTCTTTGTCAAACCTTTGAGTGTGTTTGTATGTCTTTGTGTGTGTGTGTGTGTGTGTGTGTGTCTAAGCGGCCACATCCTGTCCAGCTGAGCAATCCAAGGCCCTACTGTGGCTGCCCGCCTTATACTAAACTCATGAATATTGCTGTGGCCTGACATGCAAATTTCCAACATTTAATTTGTCAAACATGGGCTTCCACTGTTTTAGTTGTAATAACAAGAAAAGGATATCTGTCAATGTGACTCATAGCTATTGATATGAATAATACAGGTCGAAATTTGAGAAACGCTGTGACTTGACTTTAATGGACTGAACAGCTTGTAAGATAATAATCAATTCAAATCAATCATGTGCACAAAGACGTCAATGTCAGCCAGGACTCTCACTGTCTTTGGTTAAGATGTTTTAGGGATAGAGAGAGAGGGGATTTGGTGAAGCTATTTTGTTGCAATGCTTTTAGTCTTGGGAAAATCTCCGAGTATTATGACGAATGCATTTAAACAGAACTGATGTTAGTTACTGCGTCAAATAATTCAAATCTTTAATCTGATAAATCACTGAGTAGTTGTGGATTAATTAGGACTATTTGCAATCAGGACTAATCGTGATAATTTCAGAAAAATCTTAATTCCTAAGAAAAAATCTGCCAATTTGTTAAACTGCATCTAGAATGTTAATATAAAATGAATTAACATAGTTTATACACCAGTTTAGACAGCCTTGATGATAAACTGCGATTGTTCAGAGATAAAAAAAAAAGATGATGAAAGTGAACAAGTTTTAGAGAAGTTTTAGTTGTTCACGAACTACTTAGCAATTACACATGAATGGCGGTGCTCCAAACATGCATTCAGATTTAGAAGCTTTTTGGAACAACTGCTAACTTGTATCTGCACTGTGAGGACACTGTGAATTGAGGTTTGCTCTCCCGGTAACTCAGTGTGTTACGGTGTAACGCTGACTGAAAGAGCTGAGTCACCTGCTGGCTTTTAGTCTGACGGGGGACGTGACTTCACTGTCCAACATAATAAACCACTGTCATAAAGCGTTGTGCCCTTTAGATACGATGTGTTCGTGTCGTCCAGAGACACGGTGGTTAGTGAGTGAACATAGTGCACAATTAAAGAGTCCATACAAAGAGAGAGGGCTCTGTCAGTCTGTTCTCAGCAATGGCACTGTCTTGTTTACATCTCCACTGACCACCACCGAAGCTCCTGGGCCACGTGCAAGGCTCAAGCCGTCACCCAGAGATGCAGTCTTAGAATAACCCGCATCTTGAGCAAACAAGTCTAAACCCCCGATACTGACCGCGGTGGAGACGGTATTGTTCAGCGTCTTCATTCAGCCTCACCTCCTCTGCATGCTTCCTCAGCGCCTTCTCCCGCTCGTACTGGGTGATGAGCTGCTCGTTGTCTTCCTTCAGCAGCTCCAGCTCCACTTCGTGCTCCTGGTTCTCCGCGAATACCGAGTCCAAGTTCTCCAGCACGGCCACGACCAGCGGCATCAACTCTTTCACCACGTCTTCGTCGTATTTGCCGATGAGCCTCTCGAACTCGCGGTAGATGGAGTTGGCCAGGCCCGACACCCGCTCCGACATCATCGCTGATGTCCCCGGGTCGTCCTGGTACACAACTCCGTCTTCCAGCTCCATTTTCACTCCTCTCCCTTTCAGCAAACAGGACCCGGCGCCGTGGCTTATCGCGTGTTACCCAGCCACCTTAAACACCGTCACCCGCCAACGAAAAGCAGCTGTTATTTCTATTTAAACGTACACATTTAGGACGTCACACCACCGGACCGTTAGGATGCCAAACGGGCTACGTGGATTTCTTCCTCTTTCCCCCGCTCGTCCCGTGTTGCGTTCAAATGCTTTTATTATGCTCGAAATCAGCATTTTCACACACAAAAACGATACGAGTTTCACGTCAAAGTGAGATGGGTTAAATCACTTTCAAATTTGACGTGTTTTTCAAGTGAAGGTTTTATTAAATTAAAACAGATAGACTCATCTTTCATTACACAGAGCAAAAGGTTTAAATGCTACAAAATTAGTTGCATCTGATCACCAAGAAAAACAGAACATGTTGGTTTTTGTACTTATTTAATTTACATTCGGAAGTTAAATAAAAAATACACCGAATATGAACATTACAATACAAACACACTTCAGGTCACTGTTTCCAGCACTGAATAAGCCAACAGTACCTAAAGGCGACATTACAACAGCTGTGTTGTTGACCAGATCACGTGATGACGTCAAAGCCAGCGAAAACAACGCGAGGATATTTACAGTTAGACTGAATTGAAAGGAATGGGAAAAATTAGCCATTGCTCTTGGATTGTGAAAGCATTATTTATAACTAGTAAATATATACATATATATTTTAAAGATCATGTTACAAGGAGACGAAACCCTTTACAAATTAGGAAAGTTCATTCAACCTCTTTTCAGGAAAACAGTGCCACCCTTTGTCTGATAGCTGTAACTCATTTTAAAAATATTCCAATGACTTTTAAACAAAAAGGTGCATCGATGGAGCTCAGCGGCTCCAAAGCATCATAGGCCCTCATTTGTCATACTTAATTCACTGTAATATTCAGGATTCTAGGTTGTTGAGGAAGTCTTCTCCGAAGGAAAGCATTTGCCTCAGTGCCGCCAATACTGTTGCATTAGTGACTTTATTTAGTTCAAGTTCTGTACTGTAGTTTTTTACCAGAAAGATGCAGTTCAGCGGGATGCCCAGCAACACGTGGAAGTTGTCAACCTAGTTGTTGAGGCAACATAATTTATGTTGATCAGTAACTGCTCAGAATAAAAGTGGATATCTGAAAATCAGTTGGACTTGAACTGAACTTGTTAAACTGAAACTTGACAAAGAGCCACTTACCTGTTCTTTTAAAAACTTGCTTTTATAAATATTGTTTATATTCTTCTGAACATGAGAACAAGCTTCGTCAACTTTGGTGAGAATAGCCAGCTGAGGAATACCTGTTAAAGACAAAAAAAGAAAAGAAAGGGTAAGCACATTTTTAAACTATGAAAACAGCCCCCTGTTTGAGTCTACATTTTACACACATGTTGCAGGACATCAGATTTGCAGTATAAATACATGCAGTACACCCTCTCACCCATTTCACTGGCTGCCAGTCTGACTTCTCGCATCTTTTTCACAATGTTTTCACTTAATACACTTATTGAGCCTGCAGGAACAACAAACACTAGAACATGAGTGATGTCTTCCAGAGTCGGATCTGTGTTGTAGCCGTTCTCACCAACTGTGAGTGGACGGTCGGGAACAAACTAAAAAAAAAAAGAAACAAAAACACACAGAAATTAAAAAAGAAAGGACTGTTACAGACCCTGTGTGCAATAATCATGTTGTTAAATTTGAAAAATTGCACACAAAAACAACTTATGGATAAGTTGTGACACCAAATGTCATTTGAATATCATGTAAAAAAAAAAAAAAACCCAAACCTAAGTGTTGTTACCTTGTAACCTTCCAGCACGTGTCCACTTAGAACCAGTTTGACATCTTCCACACTGATCCCGTGTCCAGGATGCTGCTCGTAGGCCATGATGTCATTCAAAAGAAAAGAGTAATGGGTCGCTTCATCTTTTTTAATTCTGTAAGTCATATACTGAAAAGAAAAAAAAATGGGATGAAAAACACCTGATTAACTAACATTGAATCAGGTCTAATCATTTTTGGGGAGAAGGGGTGGTTGTGCATTCAGTTCTTTTAATTTATTCTGGGTACATTATGTGTAGATTTCTAAAACAAACTGGTTAATATTGTTTATCATATGATTTCCATCCTTTGGAGAGGCATTATAAAGTAAATTTTACTTTGTAGTATAGCTATAGCAGATATTCTTACCCTTTGGGTGAAGCTGGTTCCAGCGACTGCATCGGTCAATGCTCGGCCTGTGATTCTGCCTTGTAAGACACTGTCAACAGAGTTGATGAAGCTCGACTTGCCAGCACCAACCGGTCCGTGTAACAGGATCCTGAGACATCGGACTTCACTGTTTCGGGGTTTGTACGTCTTCACGAAATCAAGTGAAGTCTGAGTCTTCCTGCTTGTAGAACAACAATCTATTCACATCACCTGTTAAGTAGTAATTAACTTAATAACTTAATTAACTTTGTAACCTGAGCACCATTTTTACAAACTATGTTTTACAACTTGACCACCTGACAACAACAGGACATATTTGTAAACTTTATGTTAATTCACAAAACAAAATGCAATGTGTGAAGACAATCATTTGGATTTTAAGATGGCAACAGATGATGTGTATGCCAATGTGTTGTACCTCCAAAACAGCAAATGTTGATGACAGAGGGCTGAAGGTTAATACCAAATAAATATGTATTCAAAACATGGATTTGTAATAACACATGATAACATTTCCAAATAAGGCAACGTCCTGTTGACCAGTGGTCACAAAATAGCAGCTACGTTTGGATAACGTCTTGATCATATGCCTACTTAATTTGAAATTATTGTTAAAACCTGCCAAAATATTTGTGACACTGCATGGCAAATACCTTACTGCTGACGAGGTACGCTTAACTGAGTGGAAGCTGAGCAAAGCCAGTGATGCCTCCTGTGCCCTAGGGAAAATCTGGTGAGAAGCTTTTTTTTTTTCTTTTGCCTAATTGTTATTTCTACCGATGTGCATACTGTAGTACAATGTCAACTTGGATTAAAATGCTGAAGGTTTTTTGGTTAATCCCTGACTAAATAAGTCACCAGTTAGCAAAGATTATTGCTTTAGGGCAGGAAACTCTAACAACCAAAAGAGCTGTTTTATTCACTTTACAGCTAAATAAAATCCACTTGAGCCACAAACACATTCCAATCCTTTTAATGATTGAAGTGATGTACATAAAGTTTTAGAGTTGGTACTGTACCTATATACCTGTAGTCAATTCAAACACATATTGTGAGTGGCATGTTGATCTGCTGTTAGCAAACAACTTTAGTCACATGTTACATGTATTTAACTGTAATTTCAGTAAAAATGTTTTTGTTCTGACTAGTCCAATAAAATCCATCTATACCTCATGATAACATTAACAAAATGCAAAACTAAACAACAATTTGCTGTATAAACTTCCTGTCATTGTTTCACAATTTTCTATTTTGCATATAAGTTAAATAAATCAAATGCAATAGAGATTTTGTAAAGTGGTGCTCAGGCGCCTACAAGCTTCACAATATTATTAATCTTAATTAGGTTAATACTCACTCAGGCAGGTCTCTCCATGGGTGACTAAACAGAGCTGAAGGATGGACACCAGAAGACAAGACTGCATTTCACAAACACTTAGGAAGTCTTATAACATCATGAATAAGAGACCTAAATGTGAAAGGCCAGAACTTACCTCCTCCCATTGCTGCAAGGTAAAACAGATAATGTTTTTGAGCGGAGACCCATTTACATTTGTTTTATGTTTAAAAATGCTAGGGGATTTGTTAGGATTCAGTGGCTTCACACCAACAGGTGCAACATCATCACTGATGTCACCAATCTGTCCATCAGACGTGAACCATATTCAACTGTCTTTTATCTTGTCCTTTGGTCCAGTGACGATGTCAGTTAACTGCTGTAAAAATTCAAAAAAGAAGAAGTAAACAAAAAGTGAACTAAATGTTCATGAAATAAGAGTATGATAATAAGGACATTTTGCTGAGGAGAATTTCTTATTGTAATGCACAACATTTAATCTCACTGATATATATCACAGCAGCCATAGATACATTTAAATTCCAAATCAGTACATACAGACAAAATTAAAACCAATGGTTTTTTACAGTTACATGAACTATTTTTTTCTTCCATTTTGTGGAAATTAGCCTTTGAAAATAGACAAAAATAAATCAATCTATAAACAGCATCACCACAAAAACAATTATTTTGAAATACATATGCTAGCCTTGATAGATAAACTGCCATTGTTTTCTAGCACACAAGACACTCCATACACATTGTTCATCAATAATGGATATTAGCACTTAGTTGCAATCAGGTACCATTTTGAAGATTTTAGCTGCACAATAAGCTATGCAATTTTAGCATCACAGCTAATTTGGGAAGAGAAAAGGACACAGTGGAAGAATAATACAGGCCAAATACAGTATATAGTAGGCCTAAACAACACATCATCTATTCATCTATGATCTACTACTTATTCAGTACAACACATCATTTAGATGTTTAATTAGGAGGCTGCTAAAAACAAAATCTAATCTTAGCTAAATAGCTACAGTTGTTCGAACACAGGCTAGGCTATTATCAAGCATTCAGCTGGATAACTATAGTTAGATTTTTGACTTTAGGTTTGACTTTAGGTTATATATTGTATATTCTGAATATTCAAAATTCTTTGGTATCTGCAAAAGGTTTGAAAACATGTTTTGGGCTTAGTGTTGTAAATAATGAGACAGAAGTAGGAACTCCCTTTGGTGGAATACAGTCGAAATTCATATCCGCTTGTACATGTAAACAACATTTTGGCAAGATGGACAGCGGTGCTCCACATCCTTACATGAATCAAGGCAGAATGGGATGCAGCAGCAGAGGAAACATCTGTAAACATTAGACAAGGGAGTTTAATTTAAATTCAGGCTGCAATGTTATAGACAATTCTTGACACTATCAAAGTCAGTCAGAAAGTCATACTAAATAGAATTTAGTTTTTTACCCAACAAGGGCCATGCCACCGCAGATCAACCAGGTCAACAGGCCTGAGGTGAATTCTGTGTTAGTGACCACCGTCTGATTGCAGTGAGGACACACAGTTTGTCCAGGAACGTCACGTAGTCCAGGTGTTACCACCACATGAGTCACTGTGGAAAACAAATGTGTAACGTGTGAACTAAATCATTGTATTTAGTTATTTAAGTTAATGTGGCGTGAGGTCACAGCAGATTATTATTGTACGACAACCAAAATGACCAGCAGAGGGAGCTCTGCACCAGTGCTGCTACATTACTGGTTGCAGATTGAGTGCAAAGTATTCTGGGATTCGTTTGTTTTCCTAGAAAACAACTTCCAGGATATTTTCCAGTTGATATTTAAAGGTCAGTCTGGGTAAGGCGTTTACTTTGTATCATCTGGGTGGATTTTGAGAATATAAACACACAAAAAATGACTTTACTGCAGCCATGTGAGGCATTCACTAATGAATATAGCATTTCTCTTGGCTTTCTCATACAGTAGTGTTGTTCAGAAAAGCATCTCATGCAACTTCTCACCTGTTGAAGCCGGTACACCTGGGGACGGAACTGAAGAAAAAAGATTTGAAAAATACGAAAAATATGAGACATTTAAACATTGATAAATACCTATTGGTAAATCCATATAATTATATGTACTGTAATTCTGTTTACCTCCGTATACAACAGCTGGAGGAGCAGCACTCCCATAGTTCAGTGGTGGTCCTGGGTAGGGTGGAACTGATTCATGGGAAAGGTTCTCTTTTTCCATTTTCAAAATTTCTGGTAAGACATTATTATTACTATTGCTATTATTATTATGTTAGACTGTTTAAAAGACATGAAATTCAGGCCATGTAGGAAGCTACAGAAAAATGCTTAATTATATATATTCATATACATATATTATATATGTATGTATATATTTATATACATATATATAATTAAATCATTCAAATACACAATAACTTGCATAAAGATAACAGTTTAATAATGTATTTCAAAATAATAATAATAATGTATTCTAATATTATTCTAATAATATTAAGTAAAGTAAAGCAGTAAAATCCTTAATACCATTGGTTTGTATTTTTTAAATGGATGTTGGGTGCACTTTTACGACCTCAGTTTCCGGTCAAGACCGATGAACCGCAGCAAATTACCACTTGTCATCTGACTAATGGCAGAGATGGGGTTAAATCCCATAATAGCTCCCTGCTGTGGGACTGTCGGTTGGTCCATAACCAGATCCTCTGTTAGTGTTGGGAACAGTACTCAGTGAGTCCATTAGGCCATTCATTTGTCTCAATCATACACCGTGGATTTACTTTAGTGGGCTAAGATTTTGATGTAACGTTGTTGTTTCTCTGAAGAATGTAGCACTCTATCGTGTTCTCCAGGTTCTGATGCCTGTGAGCAGACACTGAAGGTCAGTGTCCGCCTTCCTGTCTCCACATTAATCCATCCTAACCCAATTAAGGCAACGTGAGCAGCATGCACTGATGAAGCAATTCAATTTTCCACTGTCCTTATTGTGTTAGTGCCACACCCTTTTATTATATAATAGTTTTTTCTGTACACTGTTGTAATATACGCCTAACAGGAGCCTGCCGTAATGATAAAAATGCAGATTAACAAAATAAATTATATTAAATTAGTTATGAATGTTGAATACTGTTTACAGGACTTCAATTCCACGTGTTTTTCAGCTCCATTTGCAAACAGGATTTCTTCAATATACAGTTTCTACGGTAGGTTTTTGTACACACGAGTACAAATGAGAATAAATGTATTCAGTTAGCATTCTTACCTGTCAATTTCAAGAAATATTAGTTTCTCCTGAATCCACTTGGTCTTGGGTGATACAAGAATTCAAATAAATTATAAATAAATATAGAGATAGATACAAAAAATATGTCAATAGACAAACACACCAAGACAACAACTAGTTACAGCTCAAAAACCTCTGTGCTTTCTCCCCTCTACTCTGTAGTAGATATACAAGTGAATCTTGTCTCCTCCCATTTTTCAACAACTGGGCAGTCCATGTAAAAAGTCCAAGCATTAGGACTGAGGCTTAACCAAGAGTTTCTTGTGTAGCATAACATTGCTAAAGGTGTACAATTTAAAGTGTACTACCTAGGAAAAAAAAAAGGAATCAATCCGCCTCATCTATAGTCGATTTCAGGTTGTACGTGATGTGGAAATAGTTGTTATTTTGGATGGAATGTTTACCAGTAAATGACCATTAAGTGGTATAATGCATCTTAAAGAAAAATGTTTTGACCAAGTTAGACAATTTTATTTAATTATATACAACAAAAAATCCAATTAGGCCATTTAACAATACAGCTGTGTTCACAGCTGCAGGGAAGGTAGGGGATTTATTTTATGTTATTGGACAGTAAGACAGTGTTAATTTTTTTTTTAAATTAATGCAGTAATATGGAAGGCATGTTCTGTGGACAATGAAACATTATTTTGTTATGGAAAAGTATGTAAGTTCCAGAGGTTCCCCACTGGGAAGTTCAAAATTTAAGGAAAATGCAGTGGAAGGAATCATGAATTAAAATGTTCTTCTTGTGTTGGAGTGAAATTAATCTACCTGACTGTTATAAAGAAAAACGGCAGCGTCCATGAAAATGAACAAATGTGTAACTAAATAAATGAATTGCATTATTTAAAATAAATACATATTTCAATGACACACTTGTATAAATTGCATAATTTGTATAAGATTTTAGCTAGAATGCAGCATTACATCTGCAAGTCATTTTTGCTACACAAACATAACTCGGGTAGGTAAGGTGAACATTTAAAACATATAATGCTTGAGAACAGCAGCCAATTTTATGAGATAAAATTCTAAGCAAGAGACAGAGGAGGAAGTGTAAGAGTAACATTGCTGGCACACCTGGTTAAAGTACAAAGTCCATTGTGTTGTCATCCAAATATCACCTGTCATTTTTATGATGGTGTTTTTTTATGTACAGAAACTTCCTGGTGTATTTTTTAGATTGAATCTTGCAATTTGATGTTTGTGTTGTCTGTAATAATTACTGACCTATTTAATAACATAAAGCCAACATGTGACATTACAGTAAATAATGCCCCAGTTAAAGCAGAAATAGTGAAAAGCAGAACTCATGTGAAACGGATTTCACTCTGCGGTGTTTTTTTCACACCATTCAGGAAGTGTTTTGTTTTTCCATTTCATACTTGACCACATTTAAAAAAATGGTAACAACATCACAAGACAGACATGCTGTCTTGACATGAACAACCTCTAAAACATGACCTTAACAAATGAGCAGAAGGCAGTCAGGAAAGGAGTTTAAATTTAAATCAAGAGAGTGTTACTCAACTCAACCACATGTACAACTGGAAAAAAGAGTGTTAGATCATAACAGATAATATGAAGTTCATATGGCAGATCAAACAGTGATGGACTGAGCAGTAACATGATCCATCATCAAACCTATCTCTCCAAAGGTCACTCTAAACCAAGGGAATCAAACACGATGGGATGAAACTGCGCACAAGTCTAAGTTGGGAGCCAAATAAAAGTTATTTAAATCCATCAAATTGAAATGAAGAGTAATGATAAAAATGCTTTTGCTATTTACCCTTTTAATTATTATAAAAAATATATAATGTACTGGATAAGTACTAAACACGTTGAGTAAATGCTTGTTTAACTGGGTGATTAAGTTTTCTAAATCTTTTCACATCAAGGACAGTTTTACATTCTCTTGTAGATGTAGAGGACTTGGTTGCAGGATGAACAGCGATGCTCCACATCTTTGCAGGCATCAACACAGAATGGAATACAAGCGCAGGGAAAACACCTAGGAGTAAAAGAGAGAAGACGTGTGACTTCACAGTACCATCAGAAACAGTATAAGGTCAATTTCGTTTTGAGATAAATAACTGAAGGTATTGTTTTTACCCAAAGAGGCATAAGCCACCACAAATGAGCCACGCCATCAGGCCTGACACATGCTCTGTCCGAGTGAGTACGGTGCGATTGCACCGAGGACACAAACTTTGTCCTGGGGCATCTTGAAGATTGGGGGTTACCACGTAAGTAACTGAAGGTGAGAAATAAATAATCAGAAAAAAAAAACATACAGATGAGTACAGTTCATTGTAATAAAACCAACAATTACTTCATGATTAAACTAGAACCGTCACATGACCCTAATGTTTACTGGTTTCACTGATCAAACTCAAAGCTACAGCAGAGCCCAAAGTACTTGTAAACAAAGTCAAGTTTATTACTAGGTCACATCCTGTGTTTCTTTCTTTACAGTTTTTACTCTTTGACAAGAGTGAGGGCACTAAAGTGATGTTCTTTCAAGAAAAAGAGAAGAGTCCATGAAAAAGTATGTGTGTACATGCATGTCAGGAGTACCTCTTACCTGTTGTGGTAGGAACTGCTGGCAGTGGAACAGAAAAAGAAGAAGAAAAAGAACACGCAAGGTTAAAACCACAGGAAATTACAATTGCAACTCGTGTTTTACCTAAAAGACAGCTTTTTTTTTAAATCTGTTTCCTAAATATTTAAGTTTTTATTAAGCTAAATCTGGGACTCAGATAAACAATTCTAACTGTACACAGCACAGCTAAAATTTAATCTTTCTCTTATCAACCCTTATCAGGGTTGGCTGTGGTGTTTCCAAACTATCTAAACTATTTTATCTCCAAATCAACCCTTATCAGGGTTGGCTGTGGTGATTCCAAACTATCTATTAGTTGCCCTGCTGTAGGCCTAGACTGCTGAACAAAATCCTGTGGTGCACTCCACGCTTCCCTGCTCCCTGTCACAGTCTATAATGCACATTTTAATTGAAATATTAACTTTATCCTCTCTTTTCTAATAACATTGGCTCTAACAAAATCAATGATTATTTCAGCCTCACAGCCTTCACCTCACATACCTGTAGTTCCTGGAGAGGGCCCTTGTGCAAAGTTTGGTGGAGGAGCATAGCCAGATAATGGCGGTGCAGGTCCGTAGCCAGGTGGAGGAGGATAGCCAGATGATGGCACAGAGGGTCCGTAGCCGGGTAGGGGCGCATGGCCAGGAGGTGGTGCTGCTGCGCCGTAGTTCATGGGTGGTCCAGGGTATGGTGGAGCTGACTCATGGGGTGGGTATCCCTTTTCCATCTTCAGAGAGAGTTGACTGATTGAGAGAATTTTTCATAAAATGTAACACACTACTTAGCTACTGGGCTTACATTTTACAAAAGTCTGCACATTCATAGGTATGTATATATGTAAGCTGAGTTAATACTAAAATAAAACACAAATATTGCTAAAACATAGTTGAATCATTTCATGCTGATGTAAGGGTGATTGTCAGGATAAAACACCAGCCTCTCTTGATGATATATGAATAATAAATAGTGGCCAAGACATCGCCTCCCTACAAAGAGACAAACTCTTATCTTCTGAACCTCTGGTTGATGATATAAAGTCCAATATTGTTAACTGCCTGTTGGAAAATTCATTAGCACATTCTCCTGTTAGCTTCAGCAATACCCTTGTTCTTTTTCATCACAGGGTGTGTGTAATGGGAATTGAGCAAATAGACTTTGTGCTGTATTTGCAGTGCCTTTATGATTTCATTGGGTGTCTGGTAACTTAGTCTAAAGCACATTTTCCTAAGTTAATAAAGTATGACCCATAAGGAACCAAATAAAAAATATAAAAAGTGAAGTGAAAACAAAGAGTCACAATCATTGTGTGCAATGATTAACCCCTGGTTAGGAACATCAGTTATATAGAAACACGGAACCTAATTTATACCGAAACTTGTTCACTCAACTCCTGGAAGAGATTATTACAGCAGACAGTCATAGGCTGCCTTGACAAAAGCACTGGTTGAATTGTTTGGCATCACAAATTGGGACCAAAAAAAACCTACAAAAAATATCTCAAGTATTATTGAAAAAACGTACACTACGTAACGTACAATACAATATTTAATTTAAGACCACAGGGTCCTCTACTGTAAACAAGGGAGGATTCTGCCTGACAGGAAGTTTAAGACAATCTCTAGTTTCACTTCTACTCTATCCAACTGTTTCCCTTTACAAACTGCTACTCTAGTGGTGGTTCAGTGTTTATACCTGCAATATAAATCAACCCCCTTCACTGCTGTGCATATTCATATATATTTTGACAGTCATCTGTTTTACTAAAATGTGATTATAAAATTCTTGTGTATTGTGTGTTGTACTGGCTATGTGAACACTTTTATTTTATAGTCTTTATTGTCATTGTAACACGGGGATACAATGAAATGTGACCTCTGCTTTAAACCCATCACCAAAGTGAACAGTGGGCAGCCGTGAGCAGTGTGTGGGGACGGTGCCATGCTCAGAGCACCTCAGTGGTAACTTGGCAGGTAACTTATACTGTACATCTTTTACAGACTCACTCATTGTGCTTGCGCCCTTTTTTTTACGTCTGGACTAATATGACCAAAAACAGTAAATATCACATTTGTGAGAAGAAAAAACGTGAACGTAAACGTCTCAGGAAAAATGGCATAAGGACACTTAGAATCTCTGCCACTATACTGAAGCGTTTCCGTCACATAAACACGACTCGCCACAAAGTGAAAAAAAACAGCCACGAGCAAAAGACAGCTTTTCATGTACAGAATGTTACTTTACACCGACCTACTTTTGACACTTTTCTCAAACACGACGATCCCTCCCGGAGCTGAAAGTTCCTCGATGACGCGGGGAGAACGGCAGATAAACTTTTAACGTGCCAAAAGGGAGACGATGAGTTGGTCCGTTTCAAAACAGCAACGAATATAAAAGTAGAGGAAAGAAGGTTTTTTTTTTTTGTTGGTTTTTCTGTTCCTCGCGTTTTTTTTTTTTTTTGGTTTTTCTGTTCCTCGTTCCGACTTGCGTCAACACCGCTTCAACGCCTTCTCTCTCTCTCACGCCTCCTTTGTCCACATGACCTAGGGAGTTGATTAAATTAATGGCATTCTTTGATTTGTTTTTTAATCACAATAACGATGTAGAAGAACACCTCACTATATTTTCATATAAGCCAAACCACAGGTTGTCCTAACCATACAGTAGATGTCCTCTCTTCTGTTGGACTAACACTTTATTTATTTTCATTATATATTTTCTTTTTAATTTTTAGTATAACATTGTCAGTGTACAAAATGGCTCATTCATGATAATGCTTTAGTACAGACTGTTCTGTGTGACCTTTCATTTAAAGGGGAAACCCCAGCATTAAAGAAATGATCAAGTATGACACTATATCATACAAGACATATAACAAAGAGGTTAAAAACATCTTGCCCATTCAAAATAATGATAAAATGTACAGTCTAAATGACATTAATTCAATTCACATCAGGGGTTCTAGGAGAAACTAAGTGAAGACAACTGTGACTCAGATCATTTCAAGAGAAAGGAAATTGACAAGTCTGACCACATTTTTTACATGTTTCCATTCCATTTCATGCGGTTTTTTTATCCATCCTGTTTCCGGTTTGATATTCATGAGCAGAAGATTTAATATAAGAACCAGGTCAAATTCACAAAACTATGCCTCTGACTTTTCCTTTTGTTTTGTATTAGGGTTGTAAGGCTAACTCTTAGCCTTTATTTATTTTTGAATTACTTCTATTTTATCTAAACTTGACTTAATTGTTTATATATATATATATATATATATATTACCTAGTACATTTTTTTGGTAGGTTTACATATGATCTTGTGAATCACAGAGTTCAACGTGCCCTGGGGCGATTATTTGACCACCTAAGTTCAAATAAAACATTGTTCTTGCTTTTGGTTCTTTAGAATCCTTTACGCAACAGAAGCTGCGATGATAACACAAGCGTACACAAGAGGGCGCTGTTGTCGTGTAGACCTAAAGTATAGGAGATTTCAGTTCACGTGTGACCAAAAGAGGTCAGAATAATCACATTATATTACTGTTGAATTAACTCAAAAGAACATAAAAAAAAAGAAACTGCATGTTTTATTTTTTCGCATTTTTGCAGTTAAAGGGGAATTCAACAATCTACAATTCGACAACATATATATATTATTTTTGAATGTAACTTATCTTTCTCTGATTATTGAAAAGACAACCATAATTTCCACAACTTTTTAAAATAGTGTGACGCTTAAAGCAACAAACAAAAGTGTTTTTCAAATAATAATAATAATATAATAATAAACCTGTCTTTGTGGAGTCAAATCACATTCTGTTTCATTATAAGAATCAGATGTTCACTCCCTGTATTAACACTAAATATTTCACAACTGCAGCACCTGCCCTCCCTCCCTGCTCACTTCTACTGTAATACATTTACAGGGTACACCTATTGAAGGGTGGGCGAGCCACGAAGTGAGCAAACGCAATATTTGACTAATAAGGCAAGGTCACAGTTGTAGAGGTGCAGTTCCCTTTATGTCTCATCACTTGTAAACACAGGAATTGTTTTAATGACCAAGCCTTATGCAGCCGATAAGCAAATGGCCGTGGACTCTGGATCTCCTTGTTTACACTCCTATATAAACTTACAGCCAAACACATCTGCACTGAAGGCGTGTTCTGGGGTATTTGAGAAACAAAGCCTTATAGGGCGGTGAAAACAAGGTGTGAGCACAGAATCTACTCTAAACCAAGGGCCAGCTTATGTCAGATTCAACCACGGCCACGAGGATGAGTTGCTGAAGCAGAAGGGTTTTCTGGAAGAAGAGAGAGAAAAAGTGAAGTGCAGAGATATTTACTCAGTTACACACTTGGTGAACTGACCACGGGATTACAACCATGGTCACGCTGAACGTTGGCACGTGCGTGTCCCCTCTAGGCATCGTACGGATATTTGAGCTGATTTCCACCTGTATCTCCTTCAGCTTGGTGGCCAGTGTAGGTCACAGCACCAACACATTCTGGACATGGTGCATGTTCACCTGGTGCTTCTGCTTCTGCGTCACCTTCCTTATACTGGTACTGGAGTTCACCAGTGTCAGTGAAAAGCTGCCCATCTCCTGGGATGATTTCACTACAGCTTTTGCCATGTTGGCTACTCTGATGGTAGGTGACACTCAGACACTGTAATTGAACCTTATTGTGATGCCAGTAAAAGCTCTCCTGTTTTATTTTATAAAGCATACATACTTAAAATTGTTGTATTATCACTGATTCCACTTTTTTTTCCTACTTTTCTTTCAGTTGCTGTCAGCATCTGTCATCTACCCCTCTTTCTTCGCCTGCTCAAAGTGTGACCGACAGATTGCCGCCTCTGTATTTTCCTGTCTGGCCTTCCTCCTGTATGCCATTGAGGTCGGACTGACTCGCGCTAAACCGGGTGAAATCAGTGGATTTCTGGCCACAGTCCCGGGTCTCCTGAAAGTTCTAGAAGCCTTTGTGGCCTGCATCATCTTCATCTGCTTAAACCGCAACTTCTACACAAGGTTTCCTGGACTCCAGTGGTGCGTAGCCGTCTACTCCATCTGCTTTATTTTCGCCGTCCTCATCATCCTATGTACCATTTGCCGCCTCTTAGCGCTCTTCCCGTTTCGTTTTGACAAAGTCCTGATCGCCATCAATGTGCTGGCAGTGCTCATGTACATCACTGCTGTGGTCATCTGGCCATTGTACAGCTTCCGAAACAACCCCAGACCCAGCTTCTGTGTAAAAAATGTCCGCTGTCCGTGGGATAACTTAGTTGTTATCACATTCATGACCTGTGTCAACCTCATTGCTTACATCGTAGATACGGTTTACTCTTTCAGACTTGTTTTCTTCATGGGGTAAACTTGACTTGGTTTATACATTTTTTATTGTTATTAGAGTTTCCACAGCTTACCAAAAACATTTCTATCCTAGAGTTAATTTTGTCAACTAATATATTCATTTTTGGGAAAGATGCAACTGGCCTTAACTTTAACTTTTTTCTCTTTTTTTCCACCATATTTTGACCTGAATGTCTATGATTGCAGAAATGTTTGGTGCTAATATTTGTCATTTTCTTTCATTTAAATCATGAATAAAATGTATCCTAACTTTTGAGGGTTATTGTGCATGCTTATCAGACTAAAACATTGGGTATCACCAATAGTGGAACATTTTTTTCAGTTGGTGTTTGCACGGGTGTGTCAGTGTGTGTACCCTGACCACAGACCATCCCTTATTTCTATCTCCACTCCCATTTTTCTGAAATGGTCAAAAGGTTGTAGAATAAGTCACATTTTACCTTTGACACTCATTAGAACCGTTAACAATGGTAATCATAATGATTATGATAATGGTGTACATATTGTAATATGTAATTGTTTTGTTGTTTTTTTTTTGAGAAGGTAGAGGATTCTTAATTAAACAAACTAAATCACAGTCAGGCTAAATTTGGATCATGAAACATTATCTAATTTCACTTAATTGGTCTGAAAACTTTATACTTCTTAACTGCAAATAATTTCTCTTGGATTGTCCATTCCACTGTGATAGGCAGATCAATTAAATACCCTGCAACTAGGTGGCAGCAGTTGGAATTACCCTTAACAAACATTAAATGACCTCAGACATGCGATAAGAACATCTCACTTCTACCTACGCCCATTTGTGTGGCGGATGTTTCTGAAGTGACCTAACCTCGAAGTTCAGAGTCCAGCTAACAGATTAACATAACACAAAACCTCTGTCCAATCAGTGAGAGGCAGCAGGGGCAATAAACAGCACAGATAAGCCAGGGATACTGTGTTTGAACACACTTCACCAAACTTGAGTTTCTGTTTCGAGGAGCACACCTGCTCTGGGTTTTAGCTGCATGGATGTTTTCAACCGTGTCTGGTCCACAAGCCAAGGCCTCGCTGCACCTGAGCATGCACTCTGTGGCGTAGACTCGTTTTTGATTTAGGTCGGACAAAGACGTACATCGTCATGATAAAAGTAGATCTGAGGTCGCTCACCCAGCCGGTGGGCATCATCCGAATAATAGCGGCCTTCCTCACCTGTACCACATTCAGTCTGGTGGCCAAGGCGGGCTACCAAACTTTGTCCTACTGGGCCTGGTGTATGTTCACCTGGTGTTTCTGCTTCTTCTTCACACTTCTCATTGTCGTCCTGGAGTTTACCACCTTCAATGGAAAACTGCCTTTTTCCTGGGAGGACTTCACTGCTGCGTTTGCTATGCTGGCGAGCCTCATGTGCTTGATCAGCTCCATCATCTATCCCACCTTTTTCACCTGCCCTACCTGTGACTACCAGATTGCTGCGTCAGTGCTGTCCTGGGTCTGTTTTGGATTGTATGTGGGCGAGGTCGTCCTCACACGTCGCCAACCAACTGGACAAAACAGTGGGTTTCTCTCCACGTTGTCGGGCATCATGAAGATGCTGGAGACGTTCCTGGCCTGTCTCATCTTTGTGAGTTTGGAAACAAAACAGTACAGTGGGGTCCCGGGATTACAGTGGTGTGTGGCTGTGTACTCGCTGTGTTTTATCTTCTCCATCGCCATTATCCTGCTCACTCTCGGACAGGTAACCTCCCTTTCCCCAGTTTCCTTTGACAAGATTGTGGTCGCCTACAATATTGTTGCAACAGTGATGTATGTCACAGCCATGGTCATCTGGCCTCTTTATGGTTTCAAAAAAAGCGGCACCAGACCCAGCAACTGTGAACGTTACTGCTGGTGGGACAAACTGGTGGTGGTGACCTTTATGACAATTTTCAACTTTGTTATCTACACGCTGGACACTATCTACTCCATATACCTTGTGTTCTTTGTAAGTAATCAGTAAGACTGGTCAAGGGAGGTTTGATACATGTTGGAGTTATAAATATAAAGGGAAAAAAAAGCATATTCTACAAATGTTCGTTTGAGTTGTCCGTTCCTGGTATCGAAACAAAGCAGTATTTTAGTTAATGGTTAGTTAAACTACCATTGTCATAACAGTAAAGTTCACCCTGATGGAACTTTGGATACTAATTTACAGACTGCAGGTAACAATGAAAATATAGTTCCCCACCTCAGACTTCATTAAATATATATTTCTGACCATTACGCTAATAAAATCTTATATTTCTGTAATAACAAGATGTGTTTTTCACGAAAAGTGTTGTGTAATGTGTTTTTTAAATGAACCATGTTAAAGTATGTCAAATGAATGAGTGAGTGAGTGATCCTTATTTAACTAAAGCAAACATTTTTAGTGTACTCAGTTTGATTCCAGTTAAGACACAGAGGATAAAACATGATCCCACTAATGCAATGTCCTTATGTGGGCAACAAGCTGCAACCATGAAATTAAAAAGCTGAGCCTTACCTAGTTTTTTGGCTCTGTTGCAAAGTTTTCCTTGAAATGAAACATGTTGAAGCAATCAAAGGCGATTTTAAACAACTGTTGCTTTTGGGTCTTTTTTGGGTCTGTCGAACGACAAAAATGTTTAATTAATAATAGGACAAACTGACATTCCTAATGTGATGTAAAAATGCTTTTTTTAGTACATATTATTAGGAAAGACAGACAGCAGGTGGATGTATGTGTTCTGAAAATGTTCTCACTAACTGACTGATCCAAGTGATGGAATATTCAAATGGAAACAAATTCCAAAGTGGGTGGATTTTAGTCATCAAAAGAGTAGTTTTCAAGAAAAGAGGAGAAGAGAGGGAGGGGGGGGGCAGTAGAGGAGAGAAGGAATTCACAATATAAAAAAATGATGTGTGGGAAAAGTGATTCCTGCAGTCCTTCCTGCAGAGGCAGCTTGTCCGTCAGGTGTTGTGTTCCCTGCTGCCTGTTTAACCTCTTTCTTTCTCACCTAATCAGTGGACACCACTTCCTTTCTTTTAAAACTGGGGAATTTGAGAGCATGTCACCCTCGTGTCACCTGTAATCCTGCAGCCATTGTGTTGACTGATGAACCAATCTGTGTGAGTGAACTCAAGTCAAACAGAATACGTCAAGCGCGAAAGTATGTTCCTCTTTTCTTAAGTCAACCAGACAGCAAGGCAGAAGTTCAGTGGTGGAATACTAAAATAAAGGATCTGGGTTTGATTGGGTTGGATACGGTCTACAAGAAGAAATAAAACTAAATTACATGTTGTATGAGTCCTTTTTCTTCGACCACTCCTCATAAATAAAAACTGATTTAGAAAAGTATTCTTCAAACCAATTGTTCTATTGTTCGGAGAGTAGAGGTTTAGGTGTCAAGACGGCTATAAAGGGAGCAACAACAAACACATGGTTAATGGATTTTGGCTCCTCGCTTTGTGGCACATGAAGGTAACATCGAAAAAATTAAGGGATCAACAGAAATGACTGTGCAAAAAGGCAAAAGGTAAAAAGTAATCTGCTAAAAGTGTTTTCTTTATTTCAGTACTCAGTATCAGTAGGCTTTGTGTTTCTAATGCCACCAGCGAGTGGTGCTAAAGAAACTACAACTGTTCAAGTTGGAAATTGAACCGTCAACACTCTTTGACCAATTGTTAACTCTAACTTATGTCCATACTGAATTACACACTGAAATGACGTGAACCGGAAAAGGTGAGTATACTGTAAACCAGACCTGGGCAAACTATGGCCCGTGGGCCAGATACAGTCCGCTGGGCTTTTAGAATTGGCCCACCAAACACTGGTTCAAGGTACAATAAAGACCGATGTCGATCTTTCTGTTTCACCCATTTCAACAAATCAACTTTTGCTGATGCCACTAAATAGCACAAGACATCTGATGTGGCAAATTATTTATCATTTATGATATTTATATTTATTTATGATAAGTTTTAGGATTTTTTTCTTGTACATTATATATAAATTATTGTATTTTGTCCAATACTGAACCGGCTGCCAGTCAAACTTTAAAACCCTTATAAACCAAAGAGTTTTCCCACCTGTGCTGTGAACACTTTTGACAGTATAATGTAATAAAATACCAATGTTTTTACAAGTTTTACAAGATCACAGATTCTGGCGCAACACTATTAACATTAATGACGGATAATCATGTCCTTGAAGAACCTCATTTGGACCTTTGTTCGACCCCATGCTATGATTTGATTAGACTATAGCAGGAAATTGCTACCATCTAAACACCTACTCTGTTTCCCTTCATTATCTCCCATTAGCAGCCTGTGATTCATCCATGCTGCAGAGCCTAAATGTCTTGCAGAGACCACTGGAACTCCTTGAAGTGCAATAAATAATGATGTAGCCCACTTTCGGGGCACAACCCACCATTTGAGAAACACCGTTTTTGACTAGGGCAAAATTCATGTAGGCTGACTTTCTCTCAGCTGATGTCAAAATCACAAACAGAAACCTGCTCTCCCCCAGGCTTATCTTTAAAACTCTCCCACAGCATCTCTTCACCCCCTCATGGTGTTCCGTCACCGGGGTGATTTACTGCTTTTATTGCCACATTTAACGACGATGATTTATTGGGTATAATCATCAAAGAAAACAATGAGAGAAATGGTTAAAATATGGTTACAATGTAAACCTTTACGCAGAAACCGGATTCGGCAGGAAGGTGGCACAAATGGGTGGGAGGTGGGACACAGCCTGGGTGACGTTCTCTACATAAATACCGCGCAGTGCGTGGACGGAGTTTGAATCCTTTTGTGTGACCTGATGTAAGGACATGAGGGACACATTTTCACCACGTACAGCATCGTGTTCTGAGGAGAAAGATGGAAAAGGATGCGTTGGATTTTGCGCCTCTTTTTGATGGCGCACCTTTCTGAGAGTAGTCAGGATAAAAAGTCCCGTGTGACGTGTTCTTATCTGTCCAGAAACGAAGAAACAGAAAGAAAAAAATCGTGTTTTGACATGAGGCAAGGTGTGCGTGTTTACTAAACGCCTCACAAGATACGCACAAATCATCATTGCGCAGCGGAGTGACCAAGACGCACAGACGCGCAAAGGTAAGAAGATTTGTAAGAAAATAATAATAAAAAATATTAAATGTGAATAACCCCATATTATTGTTATACACTGTATTTGTTATGTATTTTTCCAAGCTCTAGTAGATTTACGCGCATGTTAATGTCCCACCATACTCTTTCCATAGAAAGAACCACATAGACGCCTCTGTAACGAGTTACAGCAGTTGTAGTTCGTTGGACAAAAATGTCAAGCTTGATACAGAGTGTGAAGGGGACACGAAAATGTTTGTTTTCCAAACATGATGCTGCGGGCTGCGCGTCAATCCCTTGTTTTGGAGCGCGGTTCAGTGAATCCGCACGTCACAGCATTTATTGGTGCAACACGTCTTTACAGCTCGGGGTTGTAACGTTTGATGAGCTTTTATCAACTGTTACCAGAGCCAAAGCCGGGGAAAGTACTCGGAATTATCCTCCGTGTTACTTTACTTTGTCTTGATTCCCATGTTTTTCAGAAGAAGCTGAACCACATGGAAAACAATTTAAAAAAATGTAAATAAAAACAAAATGCATTTGAAGGTGATTTTTACACACACCATTTCACAAAAAAATCTACATTTTATGACATAAATAACAAGATGGATTATCAAAAATCTACATTTTATGACATAAATAACTAATAACTAATAATCTTTTAAATAATTTAAATCAAAATATATACAGGTCTGTGCTGATGTCCAACTGCATAATACAGGGAAACAAGACTTTCAGCAAAAACAGGTGAAAAAAGACAACCAATCCAAATCTAGACCTTTAAAACAATTCTCTCTTTTAAAACAAATTCAGAAAAAAAAGTTATTTATTAACACAATGGGTTCCAGTAGAAACAACTCCTGTATAAACATCCTTATTGATGTGCACATCCACTGTGAGTGCTTTAAATACATTTAGATTATGTTACATTTGTGTTATGGTGATTTTAATGCACACAAGATGTGAGTCCAAAGATGCTGAAGGATGAAGACATTTTTATCATCTGAGCCTTCGTTGAGTGGCTGGACTCTGTTTGTTCTAGCAGCTGCTGGTGACCAGGTGCGAGCAGTTACCTGTGTCCCCTGAAGAGTCACATTAAGATTAATGACATGTTGGCCACTCGCCCGGTCAATTCCTCGGAAGGCCTTCCTAGTAAATATGGGCGCCTTGCCCAGTACTTAAGGTTTATTAGTATAACATTGAATTCTATGAAATTCACAGTTGTGGAACACTGGGGGTAATTTTTTTTTTTTAAATCGTGGCTGTTATTACATAGACAGAAACTTGTGATTCTTTGTTGTGTCTTTTTTCATCAGATATAACCCAGATGGGCCTCACTCCTTCTTCCTGCAGCATGGACGGCTACAACTGGACTTCACCGTCTGACAATGTCTCCATGTCACAGTCCAACCCCGGTTTGTCTACCAGGAATTCTTCAGACGAGCTTGAGCCGCTGCCCTTCAGCGTGGACACCGCGGTCATTTACACCATAGTCTTTATTGTGGGCTTCCTGGGTAACTCACTGGTCATCTACGTGGTGATCCGCTACGCCAAGATGAAAACAGTGACCAACATGTACATCCTCAACCTGGCCTTGGCGGATGAACTCTACATCTTGGGAATTCCCTTCCTCGGCACCAACAGTGTTCTCTCCTATTGGCCATATGGAGATTTCTTCTGCAAAGTGTGCATGACTGCGGATGCCATGAGTCAGTTCAGCTCCACCTTTTGCCTGACGGTCATGAGCATCGATCGTTACCTGGCTGTGGTTTATCCCATTCGCAGTAACAAATGGCGAAAGCCTCGCATGGCCAAGATTTTTAACGGGATGGTGTGGGTTGTGTCCTTCCTGGTTGTGCTGCCCGTCACCTTTTACTCAGATGTTCAGGACGAGCTGAACACCTGCAATATCAGCTGGCCCGAGCCGGTTGATCTGTGGTCCATCGTCTTCATTCTCTACACGTCCATCCTGGGGTTCTTCGGTCCACTCTTCGTAATCAGCATCTGCTACCTGCTCATCGTTGTCAAGGTAATGGGACGGATGTGGCCCTGAGTTTGTCTTGGTTTCCATTCTTAATTTAACAGCTAAATTCTCCACTGTCTGAATTTCAGGTGAGGTCTGCCGGTGTGCGAGCAGGACTGACCAAGAGGCGGAAGTCGGAGCGCAAAGTGACGCGCATGGTGGTGATCATCGTGTTGGTGTTTGTCATCTGCTGGCTGCCCTTCTTCATTGCAAACACTGTCAATCTGTTCTACATCATCCCCGAGAGTAGAACTACAGCCACCGTCTACTTCTTCCTGGTCATCCTCACCTACGTCAACTCCTGCGCTAACCCCATCCTGTACGGCTTCCTCTCTGAAAACTTCAAACAGAGCTTTCAGAAGGTGTTCTGCTTCCAAAAACCAAACGGTGTCGGAGTGACTGAACAGATGGGAGCCCAAACTTCACCAAAGGTAAAGCTGGTTAGATTGCCACCTACGGACTTGGCATGCTCATTACACCACAAGACCTTGCATGTACAGCTACATGAACGAGTAATTTTCATTTTTTATTCATTTTTGTTGCCCAACATTAATATACAATTTTTAAAACTTAATGCAGAGTTCAATATTTCACTAGGAAGGACATGTTGATGCAGTCCTGTATAAATGAATTAGGGAAGTTGTCTGTAGATATTTGCTTGATGATGACAGCCAGTGTTAGTGTTAATGTAAATATACCAGGCAACACAAGCTGCTGAATTTTTAACCTCTCATCAAGAGACACCATTTGGTCAGGAATTCTTCATCAGATATAACAAATAAGGTCCACACAGTGATGACATAATGTGTCTTCATTCACATTCACCTGTGTTTCCTGTTTTTACAGCCTGGACAGATGCGGCTCACTGAGAATCCTGACAGAGAGCCTTTTACTCTAAAACCAATGAATGGCCATTGAACTCACCATGGGACTCATGGACTCAGCATGTTCTACTGCGGCAGGAACCACAGTGAAGAAATGTATGGACAGTTTGTGGAACAGTTCTCTCTCAGTGCGACATCTTCATTAT